ATTTGTTATGCATATCCTTGCTGTCTGCTCATCCAACCAGTTATAAGCCATTGTTACAATTTCTACAAGTGAGAGCATGCTCTCACTTATTATGCTCAAGTGCTTTATCATTGCAATAGCATATTAATTTTGCAGAAGATAAATCGACTTGTGATGCTGAATTGTTCAAAGATAAAACCCACAACAAATTCTCAATCTTAACGCTTTAATCAATTAATCTGTCTCTGCAACGAGATCATGAAAACCAGAAACTGATGCAACTTGCAAGAAACTACATAATTATATGCCATGAATGAAAATTACGGTGGGTACTCTGCGCTTCAATTTCCCGTGGGTTTAGTACCATGTATGTATAATATGTTGCTATGAAGCTGCTCAGAAAGCAGTAGTATGGACCAAAGCTCGAAGAAAGTCGCCAAGGGTGCTATTGCAAGGATGTGTTTGACTACAATGGCTCTAAAATCCAGCATAACATTAGTTGCTTCCTTAGTTGTTGGAGAAAATAGTGTTTATATAACATAATAAATATTCCCTAATGATAAGAGAAAAAAAAGGTGAGCAAAATCCATTAGCTTTGGCCTCCATTATTGCAGTGAGCTTGTCTCACCATCATGGTGTACGGTGGAGTTATTCTAGGAGAGGGGAATGAGTGGTTCTTCTGTACATCCGTAATACATACATTAATCCCAAACAAGAAAAAAATGTGAGGACTCAATGGGAAATAACAACAAAACATTTGAATTGAAATGGAATAAAACTTTCTTTATATAGAAAGATTATGCATCGAGTTGGGTGCTACGGGAGTATCTAAAACAAAATCGAAGGGGATGATTAGTCTCCATATATGATGCACCAACACTTCAAAAAACTTGAAGTACCGTGTTCAATACTCTCCGACACTCTTCGACATTCCAACACGCATTGCACTCCGACATTCCAACACGCGTTGCAGAGGCTCAAAAAAGAGTTCAAAGATTGCGTTACATTGCATTTTTAGTTCTAACTATTAGATTCGTAGGATTACGACTACAATTTTATTGAGTTTAATATAAATATTTGTAATATTTTATGTTTCTTTAGAAAATTAATGAGTGTTATAAGTTTAGCTTCATTTTTTTGTTAAATTATTGAATATTTAATATAGAAAAAAATGTGTATCATTTTAAAGGATGTAAAGTTGTGTCATTTTAAGTGAGAGGAATAGATAGATAAAGGAGGAGAGAGAGTGGACACAAAAATATAAAAGTGAGGGTCACATCTCTTTGTGAGAGTGAAATGACATAAGTTGTGTCATTTAAAAGGACAAACACTTTTCCCTTGAATATAATATAAACTACGTAAATTAAAAATATTATTTAATATCAAAACATGTCCTAACGTGTCAAAATCTAATATTTTTAAAATTAATGTGTCTAAGTGTCGTGTATGGTGTCACGTATTTCGTATCCCTGTCGATGCAACATAGGTCTCCATTGCTCACCATGGATATCATCTAGAATGACCTATTATTGTGCCATTGTCATTCGGCCCAATAGGCTGCCATGTGAAGGTTGGCCCAAACACCTTTATTCTCGTTATTATATTTCAGTTGAGGATTTTTTGGGTTGGGTCGCTTGGGCCCGGGTCCATGAGAGTTTAAGGGATGTTTTTGTGGGTTAGTTTAATTTTTTCTATTTTGAGAAAAATAAATGAATAAATAATTTCTATCTCTGTTGGTTTGGATTTTGTTTTTCTTTAATAGGTTGAATTTACTTAGATTAGTGATAAAAATGAATAAAAACAGAGTGCTAAAAGAATGAAAAATGATAAAAATGATCCATACAAAATAAAATTAAAAGAAAAAACTTCCGAGATGTGGCTTAATTAGTGTTTGATTTTTCTTTATGTTGTTATTAATTTGAATTGTAAGAATTATTCACTGAATTGTTATGTCAATTAATATATTATATGGTTGAAATAAAATAGTTATTAAACAATTTTTCAAATTAAAATTAATTATTTTATAAGAATTACATGGTTTTGATCTCTTATTTCACTTAATTTTATTTTCACAAACCAAATTTGATTTTATTTTAAAATATAATTTCCATTTTCTCCTATCTAAATAAATGACAGATAACTGTCTCTATATTTTAAGTAAGCAATAGTGTTATTTACATTACTATTACATTTTATGGTCTCCTAACTAATTTGAAAAATTAAAATACTATACTAAAATTAAATATCGTGGATCAGATTCTCTCATCTTTTTCGTAACACTTGTTCTATTAGTAGTTTTTGAATTATTTCCATGTAAAATCATAAGAAAAAGTTGATTTTCACCTCTTGTAATTACACTGTTGATCATTTAATTTTTTTATGGTTTCAAATTCATTACTTTTGTGATTTCAATGTGTATCACTTAATCTTTTAATGCAAAAAGTGCTCTTATTGTATAAAACATTAAAATAAGTTATAAATAAAATTTAGAAAAACCCAAAATTAATAACAAAATGATCCTGAGGATAACAGACAAGATTGAGAGTGTAACTTACACTGATGTAAAATGATCATGACCTCAAAATCATTTTACATCAGTGTAAGTTACACTCTCAATCTTGTCCATTATCCCATTTATATCCAAGGGTTCAAATTTATTAGTAATGTGAGCCCTTGGATACAAGTGGATCAAGGGTCAAGTTTGAGTGTACGACTTATAACTCTTACACCTGTGTAAGAATATCCTGCCCCATATATATATATAGGGAGTATATCTTTTGACACCTGTGTCAAACTGAAAAGCTTTACACCAAATTTTAATTGTTAATTTTTACCAATATAATCCTTATAATTGTTTGGAAATTAATAAATGAACCGAATAAATTATAACCGTTTGATTCGTGAAAATCAACAGTTAAGATTCGGTTTCAAACTTTTTAGTTTGACGCTGATATTAAATGATTTTACCCCATATATATATATATATATATATATATATATATATATATATATATATATATAAGTTTAATATAATAACAACTTGATATTATAATTATATACTTCCTTAAGTACATAATTATAGTGGATAATAGTAAAATAAAGTGATAGTATAAATTTTCTACCTCTTATATATATATATATATATATATATATAGAGAGAGAGAGAGAGAGAGAGAGAGAGAGATTTCTCAAGTTGATTCAGATATATTTATTTTCGGTCACTCAAAAATTATGTCGTTTTATTTATTTATCTGCGGCTATTAAAGTATAACCATACATAGATTGATTACTGATGATAAATGAATATAGAAAAAGAAGAAATCATAACTATTTAAAGGTGAATCAATTAATATAAAAAAATAAATAAATAAAATGACATAGTTTTTGGTGGACAGAGATAAATATATCTTAAGTTGTTTGAGAAATATTTTTCACTCTCTCTCATATATATATATATATATATATATATATATATATATATATATATATATATATATAATTTCATGTTTATGAAAGGAGAATTTTTAATTAAATAAATATTGACGAATATTATAATTTTATATGTGATATATATTTTTTCATCTTTTGAATTTCAAATAATTTTCTTAATATATTAATCAGTATATTATACTCTAAATCCGTTGACAGATTATAGGATTTTTGTTGTGATAATATACTGAATATTATTTATCCAAATTTGGTTAAGTATAAAGTATACTCAACATAACTTTTCTACAATTTAAGATTTCGTTTGAATATTTAAAAATTTAAAAAAAAAAAATTATACCGAAAATTCATACGATACAGGAAAAACTCAAGTAAATTATTTGAGATTTTCAGTAATTAGGAATATTTTTGACATTTCATTTATAATTTGATCTTTCTTTATTATTAATGTTTCGAAATTATATATGGTAAGAGCCTTTTTGACATTTAAGGGGTCAAATGATATAAATCACAACTACGAGAAAGTTTATTTGATTAACATTATGGGTAAATTAAAAGTTATGTCATAACTTTTCTACACTTACGATTGAAATGAAAAAGGAGAGAAAAAAAATTAAGGGATAGATTCCACGTAAAATTATTTGTGTAGAAAAATTATGTTAAATCACGTAACATAATTTTTGATTTATCCAAGATTTATATGTCGTTTTGTGGTTTAAACTAAAAAATAAATAATATTTTAAAAAGTAAAATTTTCAAAATATATTTTATTTTTTATTTTAAATTTTAAAATGACGTTGTTTTTATAGGAGATAAGATAACTTTATTTATTGGGAGAAACATTCTTCTCTAAATTTAAAATTACAATGGATGAAAGTGAAATTTATTAATGGAGATTGGAGAATCCAATTAATATCCTAAAAGTAAAAAAAAAAGTTTATTCATTAAGATATCAATATTAATGAGAACATTATTTGAGTAAACTTTATTTTCGTCTAAACATTAAAAAGGAAAAGAAAAAAAGAAAAAGAAAACTACACCAGGTAATAGAATGCATACGCATTATGTTGTGTGTTGAGTTGAGAATATAGAACAATCTGAGTGTGAACCAAAAATTCCCATAAGTAAGTTAGCTCTTATCGATTGGATTCATATTCTAACAATCTTATTATTAAGGGTTTTATAAGAGTTATGTTGTAGAAAAAATAATTGTGTAATATTATAGAGATTCGTTTTGCGTGCCTTAATTTTTTATTTATTTTTTTGTTTTAAAAAGTGTGGACCCCACAAAATGTTGTGAGAGTAGGAAAGTTTGTTGTGTTATGTTAAAGGATAAAAGTAAAACCCTATTATTAATAAGATTAGATAGGAATATCACAATTATATAATTTAAAGATGATTAAAGGACAATATTTTTATCTTCGTCGATTAAAGCAGATTTCATATTTACGAAAATAATCCATATAAATAAGAAGATAAGAAAACCTATTTATTATTATTATTCGGTTGAATAGGACTTAACATTACCATACACATTTTATTTTATTTTATTTTTGTAGTTCCATAATTCAAAGAATGCCATGGTGATGAAGGGGAAAAGGTTTCTATCTCTGCCTGTGTTGGCAGTGTTGTTGTCGATGTTTTTTGTGTATTACACGACAATTTTCGTCTTCCTCGATGATTGGGTCGGTTTGCAGAGCTCCCCTGGCACTTTGAATTTCTCCATCTTCACTGTTTTTGCTTCTCTGTGTCTCTTCTCTTTCTTTGTTTGCGTTTTCACAGACCCTGGTCGTGTCCCTTCTTCCTATGTCCCTGATGTTGAAGCCAGGACCCATGACTTCGCTAAAGATGTAAGCTTTTTAACATATACATGTGTGTAAAATGGCGAAATGGGTTTTCTCTTATTGGTATCTATGTTGGGTCTGTGTTGAATCTGAGTAATGATTGGTGTTGAGATGTTAAAAGTTGTGCCTTTTTTTGTTGTTGTTGTTTGGGAAGGTGAATTGTGTCGTTGAGTATGTAGCTGCAACTATAGTTAATGTGTGTTTTTGTGTGGAATGGTTTCCAATTGATATTTTTTAAGAGACGGCCTAATTGTATATCCTTTATTAGAATCAAGTTGGAAATTACACTGGAATTCTCAGAATCTCAATTTATTTGTAAATTGGCAATAGATCAATGCTGCAAGTGCTTCAATTTAGCTATTATGAATTGTGATTAGCTAACCATTTGCTGTGCTTAACTTATAGCTGTTTGCACTCACATATATTTTTATGATTTGAAACTCTGGCATTGTACCCCCCCCCTCCCTCTTCTCCTATCATGATTTTTTATGGCCAAGGATTAAAGTGTTGCTTTCCCATTATCAGAAGTTGCTTATGTGTTTCTGACAGAATAAGTTGGTGATATTGTTATCTCACATATTAGTGATCTACTTTGTTTGGTATGTTACTGAGTTCCTTAAGGTGGTGTTTGGTTGGGGAGAAGTGAAAATTTTGATGGGTAACTGCATGTGGGTATCTGTCATTACCACGTTTGGTTGAAGGTTTTCACTTGATTTTCCCATCTAAACCAGATGGCTAGCAAAGGAGGAAGAGACCAAAAATTAGAGAAGTGCACTGTTGAGAAACCCCTTTGAAGATGTGGAATTGCTATTCAAAACTGGATAAATGAAAAAGTTTTTAATCACAGACAAGTTTACCCCTGCGATTCTTATCACAAACACCTCTAATCCATGTATGTTTTTTGTGAAACAGAGGCGTCTTTTCTCTATATTCTAATAGGGAATGTTGTCTTCCTCAATTAGGAAAAAAAGTTCCTACCATCTTCTAATTCAATGGTCCATATGACAGTGATGAACTCTTAATAATTGGGACAATCAATAAAACCAAGGTTGTTTTACGAGGATAGTTTCGTAATTTCATTAAATTTTCCCATCAATATTTTATCTTCAACCAAACACACATTCAGAAATTTAATTCAATTTTCCTGGTAAAATTTTGCCCAACCAAACAACTTTTTTAAAACTTTCCTATCTAACTCACTTTTCCTCCAGATCCCTAGTATTTACATTTCTCTAGTATTATAAAATTTCTCCCCAACCAAACACTACCTAAAAAATTTGCCTCAGCGTGCAGAAGGGAAGAAATGTGACAAGTGCTTTGCATACAAGCCTCCAAGGACTCATCATTGTCGAGTATGCAGAAGGTGTATCCTGAAAATGGTAGGTCAGTCAGTTGCTTCTCAGCATTGGATATATATATATATATATATATTGTGAGCTTTGATTTTGCACTTGAGTTTACACATTAAGGATCTATTTTAACCTTTTTATTTGGTTGCTAAATTTGATGTAGGATCATCACTGCTTGTGGATAAATAATTGTGTTGGTTATTGGAATTATAAGGCTTTTTTTGCTTTTACATTATATGCCTCCGTAGCAAGTGCATATTCTACGGTATGTTTTTGATCTGGCATCTACTTGTTTTGTAATGGACAGGATTCGTATTTGACATAAGCTTTCGCAATGAGCAGGTCCTATTTATAAGCTGTGTACTTCAGAAGGACTGGGAACCCATTAAAGGGAGTTCTCTTAAGCTCTTTTATGTAAGTTTCATGCTGTAATTTATGTCCATTCTAATATATGTCAATAGATTTGGACTCCTATTAGAGAAAGATATATTGTGGGTTGTATGTATTTCTCCTTTCTAAAGGCAGTTCTCTGTCCTAACCGGTTGGAAATGGTGACTATAAATGGTTTAGCTTCATCTCCAACTCTTTCAAGACTCTACATTTTAAATCATTAAGTTAATTTCAACTGTATGAATTTGTCATTATTACTTGTGTAAGTATTCATGTTATTACATGTCTCCTTCTAATCCTTTCCATTGCAAATACAATCCTAGTTGCCTTTTTTAAGTTGAGGCATTTTCTTAAGTTGAGATAGAACCCCCATGCCTTTCCTTCATTCTTCTGCTGCAATTAAATTCTAACTTCATCATACTCAATATACATGTATGTTGCATAATGAGCTTTATAGTAGCTGACTGACAAAACTTAGTGAGTTGAAATGTCCTGAATCACATCATCCTTTGTGTTGATCCAGAAAGATACTGGAATCACCTGCATTTGGATTTTGGTGCCTATTTATTTGCAATTTCTCTCACTACTTGTATTCTTGTTGTTCTACGTAAGATGCATGTTCAAGACTTTGTTTTTGTAATGCTTGATATAAAGTTTTTGGTCTTCAAGAATGTTAGCTATGTCTCCTTTGTTCTGTTTTGGCTTGAATCCTACTTTGATAATTTATCACAACATCAACAGTATATTACATGCACCAAGAGAAATTGTTTTGCATCTTATGCATCAACTATGCTGCAAGGGACCAGAAGTTTTATTTTATTTTATCTTTTTCATGCAAGCCTACTTTGATTTGATTTGTGATTCTGAATAGGAAAAAATTCAGTGAACTCTCCTTTATTCAGAAAAAGCATCTTAGTATCCCGTTCTGTCTATTCTTTTTATTGTTTTGTTTTGTTTTCACATCACTCACTTTAATATAAAATCAAAGTAGCTAGTATTGAGACACTTTTTTTAGTTGAGGAATAAATTTCTGAAAGTAAATTTCAGGGTTCTATGTGCCAAATCCTCAAAGTTGAGGGTGGTTTTGTGCATTTCCCCCTTTCATTTGCTTTTGCAGTTCACTATTACTTGAGCATATCTGCATAAGTGGATACTTCTTTTTTATTCCTATTTAAAAATATTTTCTCTATCACATTCTCTTTGAAAGTTAAGAGAGAGGTTACACTTACAACAATTTTTCCTTTACAACCGTTTTTGTTCTCATTGGATCAAAATCAAATCAACGGTTATAAAATGACATCAAATGAGAGCCGTTGATTTGATTTTGATTCAACGATAACAAAAAATTGTTGTAAGAGGTTGTAAGGGAAAAATGGTTGTGAATATAACCTATCTCAAAAGTTAATATTAAACTTATATGGTTCTTATTAGTTTTCAATATTATGTATGCCTAATGTTTTCTTATACATTAGATAGCATAGCACGTCCTAGTCAACTGGAGCTTGTTTCTGCCTTGAATGATTAATCATAATTCATATCACATTTTGCTCATTAGGATTGACAAATTTGCCATGTATTTATTATTGGATGAAGATGTGAAGGAACTCTTCCACTTTTCTTCAAGCATGATATAGTATTTAAAATCATACTTAAAAGATAAATATACAGTACTATATCAATATCTTCTAGCCATTTCCATTTCTTAGCACAAATTCCAAATGTTCCTGAGAAATTTATATTCTTATCTTTGTGATCTCTTAAATCAAAACTCCTGATCTGTGTTTCAAAAAGCTCAAAACTGAAGTGTACAATGTTGTTAGAAATACTGCTGCTTAAATGGTGAAAGTTGCCTAAGTGAAGTGATTTGCCTTGCAAAAGCAATGTAAGTAAATCATCCACATTTCAAGCCCTCTTGTTTCTCCCCTTCAACAAGTGATTCCACAAAAAAGTTTCTGCTTGCATTGCTAATTTTTTGCATAGAAAGGGAACTTTGGCACTACAGTTGATGTTGTTTCCATGTGACACGGAGGTCACAGGCTCGAATTATGTAATCAGCCTCTTGCAAATGCAAGTTAAGGCTGCATACTATAGACCCACACAATGGGTCTGACTCTTCCGTGGACCCTTCGTAGAGGGGGAGCTTTATAGCACCAGGCCGCCCTTTTTTATTGGTAACTTGTTGTATAGATTAATGTAAAGCTGCAAAACTTCCCTATTTTAGAACCTTCTTGGCTTCCTTTCATGCTAATGTGGATTCCTCTTTACTCTTTTTATTTATACTAGAACATAATTTCTTATATCAGTCTTGCCCTTAAGTTATTCCTTATGTAGAAGGCTCTTTGTCGTTTGTCTCTTTCATGACTGTACTTCATCTTCTTCATAACACTAGCATGAATCTTTTTGAAAGTACAGCTATAGCTGATTTTATGATGCTGAGAAGACACCTCGATCTACATTATTTAGATTCTTATTTCTTTTGATAAATCTTAAACTATTTTTTTAACTGTTCTACAACTTCTCTTTTGGATATTGTAATTCAAATTTAAAGAGTAGGTCAGGCTCAACTAATATTGCTCGGGTTGCTTCTTATGCAGTGTTGTCATCTTTTCGTGAAACTTCTGAGCATCCAGCCACTGTTGTCATCTCTACTTCTGAGTATGAGGCTTCCTTACAATTCCGGTTGCCATATAGCCATTATCTAATATAGCTTCTGCTGTCCAAATTTCAAATTTTATTGCTTGTCTAACTCATTCTCCTCTGCTTGGACCATGGGTTAAGTACTCTGGTCGATCTGATAATATATTGGATAATGTTAAATCTGATAATATATTGGATAATGTTAAGTCTTTGTACCTCCCTTGCTAGTTCTTCTCTTCCTACAGTTATCGAATTTTACCCTTTTCCTCTTTAACTCTAGACTATGTTCTTTACGTTTGTGGTTTCCCTTTCAATCTTATTATATTCGCTTCTTTCGCTGCTCTGTAACCTTTCTTGATGACTCTATTCTTGTTTAGGACGGGGCTCAAGATGGGTGATTGGCATAAGATGTGTCCCAATGATTATACATTCTTACATTGCCTTTGTCCCCTTCTGCCCATGCTTCTGCTACCACTCCCTCCCTCTCTCATTCTCAGTTACTCTGTCTCTTCTAGACTCTTCAAGCTACACAAGATGGTTTTGAGTCTTCCTACTGTGCTTTCTTTTGATTGTGAGTTGTGTTACCTTGGTAAACAATCCTGTTCTTTGTTTCAAAAGGTTCTTTATTTCAAATGCTTCTTAATAATTGGGCTATGTTGCCTTTTGAGTTAGTTTACACCAATAATCTGTGTTCTGTTTTGTTTTCTATTTGTCAATATTTTGTGTCAAGATTCATAGCCAGTTTATTACTCTATTTTTACTTTATGTCGTGATAATAACTGCTAATATTTATCTAATTTGTTTTTGTTTTTGTTGGTTTTTTTATTTTTGGTCTTCTTAGGGCACCCATTATCAATCATCATGCTTCACACCCCTTAGCAAAATGATGTTGAGTGTAAATACCATAATTTAATTGAGACTAACTGCACTTACTTCTGCACCGTAATATTCTGTTGCCATTTTGCGATGATGCAGTTCTCACTAAATGCTACTTGATATTGCAAGGCTTCTCCAATTTTACAAAATCATATACCCTATTCTCTTTTATTTTGGTATTCAGCTCTATATCCTTTGCCCATTAGGTATTCAGCTCTATCATAAAATATGCTTTTCTCCATGGAGAGTTTGCAAAAGTTGTTTATATGGAGAAACCACTTGGTTATGTTGCCCATAGGGAATCTACATTGGTCTGCCACTCGTGTTGCTCTCTATGGTTTTCATAATGATGTAAGCCATTTCATATTCTATCAACACTCATCCCAAGGTCAGGGTACCTGTCTAATTGTTGATGTCATCATCATTATGGGCTGTGATGAGGCAGGAAACTATCAATTGAAACTTGAAACATCTTCGATTATTTTCAGGCCAAGTATTTGGGTTGGCCTTAGTATTTTCTAGGTATTGAGATGGCTCAATCTACCATTAGTGTTGTGATCTTTTAGAGAAATTGTGCACAGGATATTTTGGAAGAAATTGGCATGTTAGGCTGCTGGCTTGTGGATATTCCCATAGCTCCAAATGTCAAGCTTCTAGAGGACAGGAGCTACATACTACTTCCTTTTATAAATAAGATCTCTGTGTACTGTGCTAGACAGTGAATACATAAAGAAAAAAGTTACTCGTTTGATTCCTTTTTCTATCCACACTTATTTTCATCAAAAGTAAACAATGATTCAATGAAGCAACCCATTGGATTTCTTTTCTTTTTTTCATTGGTGTTTATAATTAGAGTCAGAGAAAGGGACTTTATTTTTAATAAATACTGACATGGTTTTCTGTTGAGAAAATATACTGAAAACTATAGCTAATCTTTCTTCTCTTTTTAATCCTTGATTTTCTTACGAATGGTGTTTAGGTCATGTATGGATTGATGGTGGTGGCCTTGACCATAACGCTTTCGACTCTCTCTGGGTGGCATGTCTACCTTATACTTCATAATATGTCAACCATAGAGGTGGGTTTTCAGTTGGATGTATTCCATTAAAAAATTTGTTGTCTTTATCTATGTCTTGGAAGATGTAATTTTGTGCCTTTTTTCCAGTATTATGAAGGCAATCGGGCAAAATGGCTGGCTATGAAATCTGGGCAGAGTTACCGGCATCCATTCAACATTGGTGCATACAAGAACATTACTTTGGTCTCTCCCTATTCTTTGTGGTCTTGTTTGACACTATTTTGCATGTTTGTATCGATGGTTCTTCTTTCCTAACAATATGTTTGTTCATCTGTTTCTTGACCAGATTTTAGGTCCAAATATGCTGAAATGGTTATGTCCCACGGCTGTAAGCCATCTGAAGGATGGAGTTAGCTTCCCGACATCGCGTGATAATTCTTAAACCTTTCTTGTCTGGCCAAGTCCTGGATCAACAGCAGGTCATGCCTGTTTGTCTTGAAATGAGGAATTAAGAGCTCCTTCATCAGAGTTTGATACTCAGACAAAAGTTGAAAGAGAAAACGCAATGGATCCTTTATGCAAGCTTTTAAAAGTAAGCTTTCGTGATGCATTGTAGATCTCTTCACCAAAAATGATTGAATGTTGGTCTTTAACCAGCTAGGCTCCATCCTAGATTGATGAAAATGGAAACTTTATTTAGAAGTCTTGTAAATCAGGTAATACATTTTTTCTTTGATTTTATTCCTTACAACATATTTCAGTTTTGGCACATATTTAGAATAATTGCATTTATGTCACAAAGGCCTTTTCATAGTGTTAATGGAGAGTTTCTAGATATTTTCGTTCGGAGGTTCAGCCATACTGGTTGCAATATCTTTTCTGGTCATCTTATTATTGAGAAATGACCTTAATTTTCAGATTTCCTTTGTACAAGTTTGTGAATCCACTTATTGTATTATGACTTTCTATATATGTTCTCAGAATGAGTTCCATAAAAAAACTCAGGCAAATTTATTATTATGCCCATTTTAGAGTAAATTATATATGAAACCCATCATCACCCCTGACGGGGATGTAAGAACATTTTTTTTCATTATTTCTACTTCATAGATAAACCATTTCATAAAGTTGCCTTTAAAATCATTAGTTGAATGCTGTCATGAACTTGTTAAATTTTTTAGTAATTTACATCAAACGTCCTTTTGGTTAAGCTAAAATATAAAGGCATTCCTATGGTTTTAGAAAATTACTAAAGTCCCTTTTGGTGATAATAGTGCCATTAAAGTTAAGCTTGCATGTTACAAGTATTCTAGTTCTTTTTCCCCTCGCTGCCATGTCCCATCAGATGCCTAACAGTTTTTGAAATAGAACTTAAGATGAATCTATCTACCTTGTTATTAAGGGTTTGCTTGGTTGAATTGGTTGAAAGTGGGAAAGTGAAAATCTTAAATAAAAATCATTTTACACTTGCTTGTTATAGCAAAGATGTAAGAAAGCAGAGAAAAGAAACGTAGCTATATATCAGTAAAAGGCCTTATCAAATAACTACTAATTATAATACATGATAATATTGACAGAAAATTGTTTAATCCAAGCCTCCGAGTCCGAGGTATGACCATATTTTTTATTGACCAAATAATATTTTTGGTTGCAATAGCAAAGCCAAAAAAATTTATGAGGGGGGCGAAAGATAAAGCAACATTAGCCAGATTTGGAGAATTTTCCATACTTCATATATGAACAATAATGGCTATTTCCTTGATGCCTCCCTTTTAAAATCCTTTTAACATATAAATTATGCATTTTCCTATTAACACCAACCATAATCAACGTTTTACATGTAGGAACAGCACGTTTTTCAATGGATTAAATCGCGAAAATTACTCTTAAGTACTGTGTTTTGGGTCTTGGATCTTAGTGCTTTAACAAGTTCCTGAGTCTTTGGTGGCCTATATAAAAAACTGTTAAAAGAAAACTACTTTTGACACCTTTTGACAAAATAACTTAATCCACCCCTTTTAGGTTGATCATATATTCATATATAAATGATGCAACAGTGATCAAAATGTCACTTTTTAACAAAAAATTTATCCAAATGCCACGCGAACAGTATTTTTTACCAGACTGCCATATAAGCATAATTCGTTACAACTGGTAGCATATTATGTTCGCCAATGATTTTATGACACATGGCACACTTTCGCAGGAAAAAGCTGACGAGTCATAATTCGCTACCACTGGTAGCGAATTTAGTCTGCAATATGGTCACGTGTCACGAAATCATTGATCACAAAATTCGCTATCAGTGGTAACGAATCATGACACGTGAAAAATACTGTTCGCGTGACATTTGGTAAATGATTGTATTTAAAACAATTTTCCTGTCTTTCTCTCCAGGTCCTAGTGTAGATTCCGTAGATAACAACAAAAAGAAAAACGCGCTAGAAGTTCAGGTATGAGGACCTGAGAGGATTTAGATAAAGTTTTATAAGTTCAAGCTATTCTAATGACTCGCTTCTTTTACAACAAGAAAGTTGTTTTTTATTGATTCTTTTTATCAAATAAAAACTCCCGCATAAATATAAGGACCTTTTGACCATAGTAAAGCGTTTGATCAAATTAATTGTCACATTAATGTATTTTTCCAAAAATATTTCCAGATTAATGCACGTCAATAATGCAAGATTCATTATCAGCATTAAAGTCCTGCATGAAAATCGTATGGGACTTTTTTATTAAAAAAGTAAACATCTCAAGTACACACAAGTCCTTTCTCCGCTGTCAATAAATCTCCCTGGTAGTGTTTGGTTGAAGGTTTATTTTAGGATTGATGGGAAAATGTAGGTAGATATTGGAAAATACCACGTTTGGTTCAGGTTTTTTCAAGAAATACCAGACAAATAGGATAGATGGAAAAATGACTTTTGTGTTGATTTTTGGATGAAATTCACTGTTACAGAATACCACTTGAGATGTGGTATTTTGAGATGACTGGGGAAGTGAAAAAACAGGTGCAAAGTTTCTCCCGAACATAGATTTTGCATATTTAAATAAATTTTCCTGGTAATATTTGGGTCAACCAAACAACTTTTTTTACATTTTCCTATCAAACTCATTTTCCAACCATTTTCCTATCAATTACATTTCCCTAGTAAAAAAAAATTTCTCCCGAACTAAACATTACCTGTGTTATCATGCGAAACTAGTCCCGCACGGTTAATATATGAAATTAACCACGTTAATATGGAAAAACTTTTAAAAGATACATTAATGTGACATTTTTTTTTATCAGCGACCGTACAATAAAAAAAAAACCTAAACATAAGTTGTTCAAAGTACATAGTGGAAAGCTTCATCAGTTTCACGTAATCGGGGTTCAAAACAGCAATTCATTTTCTTTGAATGAACAGATAAGATTATTTAATCACTCTCGTCACGCAGAGTCATTTTAACTATTAAATCATACAAAAATAGAGACATCCAGACGCTGCCAATAAATTCAAGAAATCTTTTATTACCGACATAATGTTTAAAGCAGTGTATAACCAATTATAGATCTGATGAACAAGAAAGTTGAACTAAAAGATTAATTTTATACTGCAATACTTGTAAGAATATTCGATTATTTTTACTTTCCGTGGAATCATTTGTGAGATGAACAAGATGACTATATAATTTGAATGGATACAGATGTCCGAAAATGATTGGAACTTTCTCTTGGTAGTAAAGTAATTGAAACTTTACAATAAAAAAGTCCAAGATGTGGGGGTTTAAATATAATATTGTGTTGAGCACCCAAATTGCATCATTAATGATCTTTGCACACCTTTGTGAGGTTTATATATATATATATATATAGAGAGAGAGAGAGGGGGTAAATCCTTTGACACTTCATCTGAGAACCGTTGGATCAAAAAAGATCAATGGTGTCACATGCTCATAAATCAGAGTCGTTGATTTTTTTCGATCCAACGGCTCTCAGATGAGGTGTCAAATTTTAAATTTGACACCGGTTTCAAAGGATCCTACCTCATATATATATATATATATATATATATATATATATATATATATATATATATATGGGCTAGGATCATTTTACACCCGTGTAAGTTACACTCTTAATCTTGTCCGCTGATCCCACTTATATCTAATGGTTCAAATTTTTTAGTAATGTGAGCCATTGGATACAAGTGGATCAATGATCAAGATTGAGTGTAAGACTTCTAACTCTTACACCGGTGTAAGAATATCTTGCCTATATATATATATTTATATATATATATATATATATATATATATATATATATATATATATATATATATATATATATACACGGGCTTAACATTTCTGCAGCTGCCGTAGATAGTGTTATCTACAGCTGACACAAAAAAGTGGGCCACGGCTTTTTTAAAAAAAAAAACTCAGGATCCGGACGCGGATCCTTGCTTGCTGTAGGTACAGCAGCTACAGAAATTATTTTGCCTATATATATATTTATATATTATATATATATAATAGCGGACCTAGAAAATTTTATTTATGTCTGCACACTTACAATAAAAGAATAAAGGAAAAAAAATTCAAAGAAAATTTTAAATATATTAAAATACAAAAGAATATAAACAAAAAAAGAAAAGAAAACTTTAACTTAACATAAAAAAAAGTAGTCAAGAGTCAACTAAACTGTTATAATAGAACATTTTAGGTCCTCAACAAAAATTACGGGCCCCAATTTATTTCTTTAAGAAAAAAAAGTCTACTCGTGGTCCCTCAGAATTTAAAAATAGACCCAGATATTCAAAATTTTGGTCTCTATGAAATTCAAGAAGCCCCACATTAGTCCCTCAAAAAGACTAACATGGGTCTATTTTGGAATTTAATGGGATCACGAGTCGATTTTTTTGAAGAGATTATATTGAGTCTCATAATTTTTGTTGATGACCCGAAATATATTTTATTCTTTTTTTTTTCAAAAAATTTGTGTCTGCACTTGCACACACTTGCATACATACAGACCCAATATTTAGTTTCTTAATACACACTGTTGCGTAAAATCGGCAAGTGTACGGATCGTACCAAGTAATAAAATGATGAGTAGAGTATCGTCTACACGAGGATTGAGGCACCGAAGTTATTATAATTATTCCTCTCTTGTTGGGTTAATCAAAATAGTTTGAGAACAATTGTGGTTTGTGAAATAAATGAAAATAATTCAAAATAAAGGTAAATGGTTCACAGGTTCTTTTAGAATTCAAGAACAAAAGATTAAAGGTTGAGAAAATATTTGAGTGAAAATATTGCAGTAAAGAGAAACAAATACCTTTACGATTCTCACCTTGCAACTTGGATTACATTTACGTTTACTTATTCAATTGATCAAACTATTCACCATCTTTTATATGATTAGTTAAGCCCTAATCCCTTAATCTCTTAGAAATCCCTTTTCAAGTTAACCCTTAGGATCAATGAATCTTTAACGTTTGCGGTTCATGTAGCCTATCCCTAGTGCGTACATGAACAATTGTCTTACCCTTTGACAGGAATTAGAATTCTAATATCCGTAGTGAAAATCCTAACCCTCGCAATCCTAATAGATTGATCAGTTCCAAAAGAATTATGCAATGAAGAACAAGGCAAGATAAATTCAATTTAAATAAATAAACATAAACTTCAACCAAACTACAAGGGGTTCACATCAAGGGTTGTGACCCTTACCACAATTATAAAACTAGCCAGACATATTCATGTCTGACAAAATAATCATAAAATAAAATAAAATTAAGAACCTAAAGAAGAGAAAGAAGATTAAGATCATCCGTCTTCATCGATCGAATCTTTGAAACTCCAAGAAGCTCCCAAGAATTCTCACTCTCTT